ATGATAATATTCTACCATTTTGTGATGTGAGCTTTGATAACATTTCAGGTTTTTTATAGTCTATTACTTTTCGTTAAACATAAATTGCGACCATGTTTTGTTTAAAGAACATTTTCTTTGCCGATCTATCTGCAACCCTTTCTGATACATTGTGTTGGGAAGGTTTTGATTGATCTGTAGATAAAGAGGTATTGCTATCGGATGGGTTCATGTATTTTACTCATTATTGTTTATTTTTTCTTCTTACTTGTTTAAGAAATTACTGTTTGAAATTGCAGAAGGTTCTTTTTCAATTTATTCTACTACTATTATGATGAATCTAATTATATACCTTTATTGCATTTTTGAAAGTTGTTCGTTATTTTTGCCAAATTGATTGATTTGCTTGGAAAGCAAAAACAAATTAATGTGCTTTAAAATTTTCTTTTACAGGGTAAGCAAGTTTATTTGGGGAATGTCCTTAGCAAACAGGCTGATCATTTGCAAGAAATTGCAATTTCTGGTGACTAATGCTATTCTAAGTATTCGGATTTTCAGGAATCAAGGATCAGAAAAACTTCTTCAATCCAACCTCTTTGGATTCAAGATTCAAGATTCAAGGCTCAGAAAAAACTTCTTCAATCCAACCTCTTTGGATTCAAGATCCAAGATTCAAGGCTCAGAAAAAACTTCTTCAATCCAACCTCTTTGGATTCAAGAATCAAGATTCAAGGCTCAGAAAAAACTTCTTCAATCCAACCTCTTTGGATTCAAGATTCACGGCTCAGAAAAAACTTCTTCAATTCAACCTCTTTGGAATCAAGATTCGAGATTCAAGGCTCAGAAAAAACTTCTTCAATTCAACCTCTTTGGATTCAAGATTCAAGATTCAAGGCTCAGAAAAAACTTCTTCAATTCAACCTCTTTGGATTCAAGATCCAAGGTTCAAGGCGCAGAAAAAACTTCTTCAATCCAACCTCCTTGGATTCAAGATCCAAGGTTCAAGGCGCAGAAAAAACTTCTTCAATCCAACCCCTTTGGATTCAAGATTCAAGATCCAAGGCTCAGAAAAAACTTCTTAAATCCAACTTCTTTGGAATCAAGATTCAAGATTCAAGGCTCAGAAAAAACTTCTTCAACCCAACCTCTTTGGATTCAAGATTCAAGAATCAAGGCTCAGAAAAAACTTCTTCAATCCAACCTTTTTGGATTCAAGATCCAAGATTCAAGGCGCAGAAAAAAACTTCTTCAATCCAACCTCCTTGGATTCAAGGTTCAAGGCTCGCAAAAGACTCCTTCAACCCAACAACCTCTTTGGATTCAAGATTCAAGATTCAAGGCTCAGAAAAAACTTCTTCAATCCAACCTCTTTGGATTCAAGATCCAAGAATCAAGGCTCAGAAAAAAGTTCTTCAATTCAACCCCTTTGGATTCAAGATCCAAGATTCAAGGCGCAGAAAAAACTTCTTCAATCCAACCTCTTTGGATTCAAGATTCAAGATTCAAGCCTCAGGAAAAACCTTCTTCAATCCCACCTGTTTGGATTCAAAATTCAAGATTCAAGGCTGAAGGCCTTCGCATTCAAGAAGTCTTTTTGGGATCTTGAATCTTGAATCCTTGCTCCTTGGATTCAAGAAGCTTTTTCTGAGCCTTGAATCTTGAATCTTAAACCCTAACTCCTTGGATTCAAGAAGTCTTTTCTGAGCCTTGAGTCCTGAATCTTGAATCTTGAGTCCTACCCCCTTGGATTCAAGCAGTTTCTTCTGAGCCTTGAATCTTGAATCTTGAATCCTACCCCCTCGGATTAAAGAAGTTTTTTTGGTATCTTGAATCTTGAATCCTACCTCCTTGGATTCAAGAAGTTTTTTCTGAGCCTTGAGTCTTGAATCTTGAATCTTGTATCCGATGTACTTAGGGAAGGGTGGAGTGGGAACAAAATTGCAAAAAAATGCCATTTTTGATCACCAGAAAATGCCCTAAGTTGTAGAGTCCAAAATGTTAAGAAAAACACTGTAAATACCGCTAAATTTGCTTCAAATGTAGGTCTTGGGGGGGTACCATATATATATATATAAATATTAACTATATAATATAATACATAATTATATATTATTATTACAACTATATATATATATATAATATATATATAGTTTGATCCTGGTCCCGTGTGGGGGGGCCGTATGGTATGGGGGGTTGCCCACCCCCACCACATCCACAGGCGGGGAGGGATACATAGACATATGCATAAACACATACTACATACGTATACACACATGCGTGTGTATACATATATGTATAATGTCAACCCCGGATTAATAAACCATTGTTTATTAATTAGGGGGTACCCTCCATGTAGTCACAATATGGTACATAAATGGTACCCTCCCAATTGAACAGCCTAGGGGTTTATTAATCCAGGGTTGACATTATACAGTATATATTTGTACCACTTATATAAAATAATAATATGTATACATATAATATAACTTACATATACATATTAATATAGGGACCATCACCATCTCGAGGGGGAGGGGGGGACCACCAGACGCTGGGACATATTAGTTCCCATGATTCATCATGATTCCTTTTCAGACTTATACATGCTTGCTCTGCATTGAGGCTACTAGATGCTTCCAGTGCATTTGGTTCCAAACAAACCTTTTTCTCTTAAGACATCTCAAGAGTCTGATCTTTACGAATGTCTCGTACTAAACTGCCAATCCCGAACTCAACGTGATTCGGCTAGTGCACCCTACTTTCAAAATGCTTAAGCAATCACACCTCCAAATTGAACATTACGACATGTCATGAACCAATATGAACCATATATCTATATAATTATATATACATTTTATCCGTTTGCCAAGGGTCTCCATCTGACTTTGGAGTTGTTGAATCTGCCTCTGCATCTGCTGCATCGTTTGTTGCATTGCCTGAACATTCAGAAAGAAACAACATTAGCAACCCCACCATTTCCACCCCAGAACATGCTGCACACATACGCAGGAGCAAACACTCAGCATGGGCCCCGTGCCAATACACGCTAATGATTAGCCGCGAATGGTAAATCAGTACTACCACGTACTACCATGTACTACCAATATTCTATACTATTCTATGTAGCAGCGTAGCACCAGTGGCAACGTTGGAGCCCGCAACAAACCTAAGTCAATTGTCCTTCCACACTCGCAATCTCAGGTGTCAAGTCAAATCGCCATACATGGATTCAAACGCAATGCCAAATCAAATGCTGTAGGTATCTGTAGGTGCCTTTAGTAATACTGATCGTGAAAGGCATGCTTGTTTGTTGTGTTTTGTTGCACAACACTATGCACTTTTCTTATCTTTTCTTCAGTTTTCGGGTCTTATCTGAGTCTTATTCATCTTCCATCCTGTCCCAGTTGTCGACCCGATAACCTCGTCGTTCTTGTCAGGATTGCTCAAAGTCGTAGGACTGGGGTGGTAGTATAGCGCCGTTCTCCTGAAGAATTGGAATTTCGAGCAATTGTGGACCATTGCATGATTTTGCGTCATCTCATAGTTTCCTGCAATTCCTCACTCACATGGACTGACCATGCAACCTATCTGAAAACCAGCAGATGTCACCCGACAAAGGAATTTCGTCAGTTAAGTTGCATTACGTATATATATATATTCATATATATATATATTTGTCAATTGCAAATAATTGCAATATATTACAGTAAGATACAACATCAAATCAAATTTATTCACATTTGACATCCAAGATGCCCAGATGGTGTGCGGAGATATATAGGTACAGCATTGGAAATTGCGGCCATCTCGTCGTTCGGCAGTGTATGGCAGTATGAACAAATGCGACAAAAAAAAAATGCAAACGCTATCCATACTTCAACAGAAAACTTGGTCTGTTTGTTTGTTTCCCTGCACTCAGAAATTTGTCTGTATTCATCTGTGTTCTGATCCCTTGTGGTGCAAACCGGTTTCGAAATGATGCTCCCGTACTCCTGAACTTTTGGAATTCTGAACCGAAATCTCCAGAGTGGTTGGTTGTTGCTCGCGGGAACGCCAAACCAAATCCAAACTGACACAAATGTCTGCATGAACATGCATGAACAAAATGTAAGGCTTCTGCTCCAAACCATGTGTGGGATCTAGGGGCAACTGAAACCTGAGGCACCAGGAAGTCACGGGATCCATGTTTTGTTCAGTTCTCGAAATTTGGCAAAAACAGTGTGAAAGTTCCACCAATTCTGTGTGAGGCTGAAACCACTTCGCCATCAACTGCCGTGCCTCATGGTTTGATGGTGGAATTTATTGCCCGCCCTGCCCCCCCCCAAACCAGGAATGTTTGATTTGATGTTTGCATTTCAGAAAACATAGAAAACTAAGATCCAGTCAGCCGGTGTGTTTCGCACCACCATAAAGTGGTCAGAGATGTTGACAAGACTTCTTCTGGCACATACACAAATGAGTTTTTGACAAAACATGTCTGTCAAAATAGCAGCAGTATTCAATTTGAACTTGTTGGAACGCTGCAAAATGCTGCAAACCCGGGAAAGCAGTCATACGCCGCGGTAATCTTAAGAATGCCGACGGCAACCGACGGCAGCTAACCATCAGAAAATCAAAATCATTATATAGTTTAAATATGTTTAAATAATTTTGCATAAAATTGCTGTTTGAAACGATCTGCCAGACCTGCTCAAGTCATCTTTCCGGAGCGGCTGTCCTCAAAATAATCAACATGGATCAACATGGACAACAATGACAACATACTCTTGAAGGCAATGCTGGGAAATGTTGGACTGCAATGGCTCACTCAGCACTGAACGTGCCAAAGCTGATGCAAAGAGAAAGTGTCGCTTTGCGGATGACTCACCTTCAGGGATGAGAATCAACCCAGTGAGCCGATTACCAGCCGATGCGATCTAAGAGTTCTTCTTCGACATGGGATTGACATTCATAAATATCACAAATTGCAAGATGTTGCAAGCCATGTTGAATTGCAGGAAGTGTCCAGGCTCTTGCTTTTGTTACTTGCCGGCGTGTGCGGGAGCATCGCGAAGAAGATCAATCACCGGAAAATTCAGGTCTCCAGGGAACATCTGGAAGCCCAAGTATTTGGGGTAAGACTTTGGGAATCCACTTCGTCTTTGAATCGTGAGCACGCTGTCAATGGAAGCCTTCGGAGGATCGGGGCTTTTGGCCTTGGATACAAATCGCTCCAGACCATCCTCCAATGGGAGTGAGGTTATGATGCTTTTCATGCCGTTGTCCTTGCTCTCGTCTTTCACATCAATGTGCAAGGCTACACTTTTCCGTTCCGAATCGTCCAAAAACTGTTTGATCTTGGGAATACTCAGAAGATTCCCTTGCAAATCTCTTGTAGCGAAGCCTTCAGGTGAAGAGCTCTGCAAATTCATAGCCAAGTTGGCAAAGTATCCCTTCCTCACAAATCACAGTTTGAATAGTTCGGCTTAAAATTGATACGTGTATTACGTTATGTAACACACACACATACACACACATGCATGTATATATGCATATCATATATGCATATATATGTATATATATATATAAACATACATATCACAAACGAATGCGAGCATCTTTGGGCATCACGTCAGGACAACCGAGCAAGAAGCAGCGACACTGGAAGCAAGACTGAAGATGTCTGGATCAGATATGATACTGCACCCTCATGGTCATCAACAAAGGTGAATTGCTGTACATAGCCAATTATATAATATATTATAATATCAATATATATCAATCACCTCAAAATGTATCAACATCACTGTGCGCCACTCACTTGCACATGCATGGACAACATTTGATACATTTGCAGCATTCCAATTCCATTGATTTCCGAGCTTCTGATCCAAAATTGCATAGCGGATTTGTGCTTTTCCCGGCTGTAGACCCTCTTGAAGTTGGCGCCACTTGCATGCAGACAGCTGTTGAAATGGTCCGTTCCTCAACAAAGAGACTCGAGATGCTTGCAACAAAAGCTTTTTCATGCTTTTTCTACCTGAGCAATATTGAGCAACATGTTTGCAAATGTCGAACAGAATGGAATAGAATACTGATCGTGCTCGATCATGCTGGTGAGCTTTGACAATCCTGACCAATTGGGACAAGAGGCATTTTTTTCATATTTTTCCGTATTTCGATGGATTTTCCCTCCCCAGCAACTGAC